ATTCAGTAATTGAACAATAACCACAAACATTAAATACGATGGAGGATTTACTGAAGGACATTAGATTAAGCTGAGTGTTCCTAATAAAGTGATAACTGAGAGTATAACTAGTGTGTGTTTTACTGTAAACACTTTATAAGATAAACAGAGTTGTGACGGTCTGTAAACTCTATTTGATTTATTTATTTCTTGCAATATTACGACTTAGTTCTTCTTTCACATCATTCCTGTGTGTTTTCTGTTGGAAACACAGAACGAGACTGAATGAATGAATCTCTTCCTGTGAGGTGTTTTTAATTTACAAACTCTCTGCAGGTTTCAGTCCTTTAGATCCGTTGACAGTAAATATACGAACTCTGTCACTCAGGCTCCGCCGTCCGTCACACGGCTCCTGATGAAGTGTGTGTATGAGCTGCTGATGAAGTGAAGGATTTCTGATGCGAGCGTGAAAACATACCAGCAGAGCCAGCCAGTGAGGTGCATTGTGGGAAACCCATCAGTGCATGGGTGGGACGGACACTTACCCGGGGACTGCTGAGAGGACTCGTGGACAGACCGGAGGACGCCCCGCTGATCGACCGCGACCTACACACACACAAACACACGGATCAATATCCACGTGCTGAACAGTGAATCTCACACACACACACACACACACACACAAACACACACACACAAAAACCTGGATGATCGTAACTGAAAAGTGAGAAAACTCTTCTGTCGTCTGCAGATTTCACATTTTTCACTCCATCATCATCTGTTTGTCAGTCGGCGGCTGAAACATCCTCACGTGCGAAACACAAACTTGTGTTAAATTGTGTGTAAAACGTTTCTCTTTTCTTTTCCTCGTGAGCTTTTTCATTTTTCATTTACGTGTCATTAACTTTCATATCTCCCTCTTTGTCTGTTTCGCCAAATGTCGTCTCTTTCTGCATCAATCCACACACACACACACACACACACACACACACACNTAGCCTACACATTTATTTTGGCTGGTAAACATTCAATAATTCAGTTATGAAAGGTTTTTTCTAAGATCAAGTATTCAAAAATGTTCATAAAGCCTCTGGCCACAGCTGTCATCTGCATGGAGGCAAAAATACTAGTTGCATCATTATTGGCTTCTGACTATCTCATCACTGTACATCTTTTAATAAAACACATCAGCCAACAAGTAACTTCATATAAACTCTGAAACAACCTCCAAATATGTGAGCAGTTTTTTAAAAATCACAGTTATCTGATTACTTCTGGTAATCATGGTATATCCTGCATATCAAGACAGCCAGTGTCTCGCCTGCTGTGTGACTATCATTACCTTTGTCCTGAATACTGGACCTGGTTTGAAACTGCTTTGTCTGACGCTTCTGCTCCCAATCCCTGAGAATGAAAGAAAAAGAGCAAAATGTGGCTAAAACATATCAAACAGTTCTCAAAATCCACTACAGCTAAATCCTTTGTTTCTTACTTTGGGAAGGACTCCTGATGCTCCAGCAAAAAGACACAAGAAGAACCTGGAAACAAGATGTGAATGTGTGTGTGTGTGAGTGAGAGAGAGAAACAGATAAGTTAAATCAGGCAAACCATTTTTAAAGTGTAATAATTCATTACCAGGCTAATGAGAAACAGTCGAATCAATATGGATGCTGCTCTGTTCTAATTAGTGTTGTGTTGCAAGTAAACTGGTACTAATTTCACAGGCTATTAACAAGGGATCAATGCAGACAGGAGCAGCTCAACCAGTCAAAGTAAATGCCCCTGCTTCTCATAGATACTGACTTTTTAGCCTTGCTGCTGTTGGGATAGTCCACCACCATTCCTCCACTGAAACCTGCCCTCATGGCCTGCGTCGTGATCAGCTCCAGCTGGAAAGAGGGAAGAAAAAGGTGAGTATGGGAATCAGTGTAAAATGTTCCATTTTACATCCACCGCCCACAGTGTATTTTCACCTGCTCTGAGTTCTCGGGATAAAGCTGGAAAACTGCACGTGAGCCTCTTGACTGAAAGACAAAGAGCAAGGCGATATAAGCAAAGGTCTTCACTGTAAAATATGGGGAACGGATGTTGAAATGTTTGTCTAAGAAGTGATAGAAGCTTACCAGAGAAGAGTAGAGAGTACTGAAGAATGTATAGAGTCTCTTTGGAGGACTGTGTGACTTCTTGTCGGCATTACAGAGCCATTGAAGCGCTGAAATACTGACAAGGAGAAAGCATTAAGAAAAAACTGAGTCTGATTTTTACTTCATGTTTTGTTTTGTTTTGAAAATTCAAGTGTGCTTTGATTTTTACCTGATGCAACCGTCAAAGGTGCCAGGTCGGAAAGGCATCCCCTGGCCCATGTCCCCCAGTAAAAGATCTCCATCTACTTCTCTGTCCAGTGCAACATCTATCAAAGGAAGACGATTACATTTTTAAAGCAATTTTTAATAAAACAAATGAA